TTAACAGTTCTTCTCTTCATAGTTGTGTTCATGACAGAGTTACTATCACATTTAGAAAATGGCCCTCCATAGGAAATCAGGCCCAGGCTGACTCCTTCACCCTCCTTTGTGGAGTTGCGCTATGTGGAGACCACAAGGCATATAGGTTCCCAGTGGCAGCAGTTTGGGGGATCACATGTACTGTCCCCCCCCCACTTGCTTCTGAGACTTTCCAGAGTCCCCATGGACTATCATAAACAGTTAAATGCTGCAGATATTCCATGGAGCTATGGGTTGATTCAAAAGCTCCAATAACCAGAGCTCCTTCAGAACCAGGCCCTTCTGGACTTTTCCAGACTTGGCACCATTTCACAATGTGCACATTCACCTCCATCATACCTGGTCCCTATCCCAGGTCTTGTCTATCCCTGTGCTTTTGATCATTTTGCTGTCTCTGCTTCTTGCAATATCTATATCCTGCCAACCCAGACGTACCATCAGTGATACCTTCCTTGTCTACACTGGTGTCTCCATTCTCTGAATTCTTCATATGAGTTCAGTACTTCATGCAGACTGAAAGTGATTGTTGAAGTAATTTCATCCTGCAATTTTTGTTTTAATTTTGTTTTTTAATACCAAGGCATTGACTGAAGCCTAGAAAAGTTGGATGGTTTGCTGAAAATTATGTGTAAGACTAATGGAAGAGCTGAAACTAGAACGATGTCTCCAGAGTCCCAATCCAGAGTCTTTCCCGTTACACTATGAAAGCACAGAGTATGTGACTGAGAGAAATTCATATTTGCAAATGTTTACTCTTATCGTTATGCTACTTACTATTAGTTGTCTGTGCTGTGCTAGAAAACCAAACCAAACGCACTGCTATTGAGTAGATTCCAAATCATAGCAACCCTCACTGGGTTTCCAAGGCTATAAATCTTTGTGGAAGTAGACTGCTTCATCTTCCTCCTGCAGAGCAGCTGGTGGCTTTGAACCACTGACCTTCTGGTTAGCATCCAAACACCTTACCCAGTACATAACCAGAACTCTTTGTGCTGTACTAGAGATGGGACAAATTAATGTAGGAAAATAGTTTCTGCCCCTGACAATCCTCCCATTTTAAAGAGAAATGAATTATCCTATAGCTGGCTATTTCATTTGGGTACAAATTCATGCTAAAAAAGTCCACATAGAAGGTGATTTCTTATTTTCCCAATGAGAAGTTTCCTCTTATCCCACTTCCAAAATTTTTGTTTTTTGTTTTTTTTCTTTTAGAATATGTAAAATTTTAGGGCAGGATATAAAAAAAGTCAAATGTTGGCTTGTACTGTTTAATATATTAATTAATTGCCCACATTTAAGATGAGATATAAATATGGAAAATTGTCCCCCCCCCATTCTCCATTTCCCAGAACATTTCTATTCTATTTATCTTCATATATATCTTTAACAACAGGATCTTTCTTATTCCTAGGGCCATGTTTTGAGTCATCAAGCAGACTCTGCAAGCAAGCACCTCACTTTTTCCCCTTAATAGTAATTTACATCCTCCCTCCCATTTTTTTCTAAAAAAAAACTTTTTAATGTGATTTGGGTGAAAGTTTACAGAGCAAATTCATTTCCTTTCAACAGCTGATACACATTTTGTTTTATAACATTGGTTGTAATCCCTACAAAATAACAGCTCTCTGCCCCCTTCCTCAGGGTGGTTACCTTTTCACTGTGTCCTTCTTTCCTATGCAAACTGCCTTCTGAGCTTTCTCCTGGGCGAATGCTGCCCTCTGATCTCCCTTGGTTGATTGTTCTAAGGCGTGTACCTTCCTGATGTAATTGTTCACCTAGTAGGGCTGACTATTGTTTGGCTGAAGGTTACGCCACGGGAGTGAGTTCAATTCCAGGCCGGAAGGGTGATTAAGGACAATAGTTTCAGAGGTTTGACCAGGTTCTATCAACCCAGTAAGCCTGGTCTTTTTTTTTAATAATTTTGAGTTTTGCTCTTCTTCAGTAGTTCTTTGCTTATCCAAGACCTCTTTCCTTCCATATGAAATTAGTGGTTGGTTTTTCCATAACCTTAGAGAAGATCGATTGGGATTGGATTGAATCAATCTATTTATTGCTTTGGGTTGTTGTTGTTGTTGCTATGTGCTGTTGAGTCGACCCGACTCATAGCGACCCCTCCTTGGGTTTCCGAGGCAGTATCACTACGGAAGTAGATTGCCCAACCTTCCTTCCGAGGAGTGGCTGGTGGGTTTGAACCGCCAGCCTTCTGGTTAGCGGTCAAGTGCCTTCGGCACTATGCTACCAGAGCTCCCATTGCTTTGGGTAGTATTGGCATTTTCACAATGTTCAGTCTTCCTATCCATAAGCATGGTATGTTTGTTCATTTATGAAGGTCTCTTATAGTTTTCTTGTATTGGTATTTTGTAGATTTTTGTATAGATCTTTTGTGTCCCTGGTAAGATTTATTCCTAAGTATCTTTTTGGTAGCTATTATGAATGGTATTGTTTTCCTTATTTACTTTTGAGAGATCTCTTTGTTGATGTAGAAGAATCCAACTGATATTTGTATGTTGATCTTGTTGAACACATTCTTCCCCTTTGCAATTTATAGCCTCTTTGAATTGGTGGATGATCCTGTCACTGGGATTTTTATCCTAAGCCATATGTACCCATTTACCAAACAACAGTGGTGTCACTAGGGGCTGTGAGGGGTGTGTGCCACGCTGGGTGACAGTGTCAAAGGGGTGATATAAAAATGACTGTCTATAAAATTTTCTGCAATATTTCAGCAATGAGTCGAGACCAACTTGATGGTAGTGAGTTTGTTTTTTTTCAGTTTTTGGAATGTGCTCTGATCAGTCTCGGAAGGAAGGTTGGGCAATCCTACTTCCGCAGTGATACTGCTTCGGAAACCCAAGGAGGGGTCGCTATGAGTTGGGTCCAACTCGACGGCACATAACAACAACAACAACAACTGATCAGAGCTGTCATTATTACCTATTTTTACAGTGATGCTTTGAATCATGTGGTTTTGTCTGCATGTGCTACAAGCTTGTACTGTTGTTTTCGTTGTGGCTGGTTGTTTTTATAGCTGCTAATTTTGTCAAATTTTCTGGTGTTTTAGTTATAATATTGTGGTAATTAGTATTTGTGAACCTATATCAATAACTTTTTTGAAAATGAAGTAATACAGGAAAAGGAGAAAAATAAAAAAAGGCTTCTGCTCAGTTACTAATAATGTTGTGATTCAATGCAGAAAGATTTTACAAAACAATTTCATTGTTAGTGTTCATGTAATCTAAGAAACCCAAGGAGGGGTCACTATGAGTCGGGACCGACTCGATGGCACATAACAACAACAACAACAATCTAAGAAATACTCCATTTAAGAAATTTACAACTGTATTTGCTACATATTATTCTATGATTAAAATTGATAATAAGCATTACTAAATGATTCTGTGTGGTCTGATATGTGAGGAGCCCCATGTTGTATGGAGTGACACCATGAGTTACTGCACTGGGTGACACCAACCCTAGTGATGCCACTGCCAAACAACATTTGATTTTCATTTGCTTTGTAGTTGAATATTTGAGATCAAACATAATAACTCCTCATTGTGTTGCTTTTTCCAGTAATCTTTAAAAAAGTGTTTACAGAGATAACGAATCCTTACAATTGAGGTCATATTCTAGAAATGATAGTTTTATGGTCTTTGTCCCCCCCCCCCCCATTTTTTTAATAAAGCAGCTGTCAGGTTATTTTCTTATATATTGAAAAGTGGCATTGATTTAATTCCAGGCTGCTGTGCTATCCCCAGATTGCACATTATTATTAAAAATAAAGTCTTTGACCATGGTAATATTAGGGTCTTTACAAGAATTCAAATATATTGTGACTCTTTTTGTGAAGTTTAATCCTGGGAGATGGGAAGCCTTGACCTAAATTTGGATATCTATGGTATCCTTCTTCTAACCCATGTCCATGGACTTCCTCCACATTTCTATCTTGTAAACATTTGCTCAGATGTGACCCTGAGGAAATAAGTGGGTCTCTATCAGTGCAGCTCCACCACCATTCCTGAGCATGTATCCTACAGATAGATGCTGCCAACCATGACATGTTCCTGTACCAGAAATATCTTTACATTCTTATACACTTATATACTGTTTTAAATGTTTGCCATTGTGTTGCAGAATTGGAGTGATACCCAATTGAGTTGTGTTTGTTTCGACCTAGAAGCCAAGAGGGTCTGTCTGTGAAGCTATGTTGAAAATGGCAGAGAAAAAAGGACAGGAAGTTGTTCCTCACTCTGTGTACATTGACTTCTCCCTTGTTCTGTTTTCTGTATTTATTTTGGGTTTAAGAAGTGTTAAAATAAGTTTAATCAAAAATTACTTTTCTTTGTGGAATAGGTACTACAATAGGTATTACATTTGCATTTACATTCTTTAACTTCTTAGGGGTCATTGACAAAAAGCTACATAAAGTCCACACGTATATTGTTTGTAATTTAGAACCCTAATATTTTAGGGGGAAAATAGTACTCATTAAAATTCAATTTGTCAGACACCCTCATACATTGCTGATGAGAGTGCAAAATGATAACAACTCTTTCTGAAGCCACTCCTGTTTTAAATATGATGCTTTTCTATAAACTAAAGAACTTTTATAAGCCTGAACATTTACCTATTTACACTTGGATTTCCTGAGCATCCTGGTGGTTATGTAATAAAAAGCAGTTTTTTCAGGGCTTCTGAGGGGTGTAGAGTGCAGGTTCTTTGCTAGGTTGATAGCTCTCTTGGGGTCCTTGAGCCACCATACATTCCTGGAGGGTGGGACTAGGAAGAGGACTACAGTTTAAATCACATTGAGGGACTTCTTTATAAAGGGGGAGTTGTTTTATTAGTTTATAGTCAGTGTAATAGGATTTACCAACAATTCCTCTTGTTTTAGAAACTATAACGTGTATTAGCCTAATGTATATTAGGCTTCATTACTAAAAGCCTCCTTTTCTTTGTAGGATCAAAGTGTTTAACTTTGTTAGTGGAAATCCATCCCCTTAACAACGTGAAGGTTCTAAAAGCAGTGGATAGCTATATTTGGGTACAGGTAAGTGAGTATGTCATCTATCGTCTATCTCATTATCAAAAGCCGTGAAACCTTGAGCTAATGGTTTGTACTTTCACACTTATTTTCACGTTTAACCCTCAAAACGGATGGGTAGGAGTGGAAGTACCAGCTATAGCTTTGCAAACATGAAAAACAAGAACTTAAACCTGGCTCTTCTGACTCTGATAGGCCATGGTGTCCTGACAGTAATGTAATGTTTTTACTTGATAAAATATTAAAGTGTATTAAAGGTGAGCCTAACTTGTTTATTAATTGTATGCATGGCTGACAGATTAAGCTGTATGATTAAATGGCTTAATTAATCCCTGAGTTTAACAAGTCCATGACTTGATGCAGAAGCTCTGTGTGTATAATGCAGGTGAACTAGGTATATGTTCACATGACTCCCTGTGCCCAATTTCAAATTCTGTTACAGAGTCAAGACATCATTTCTTTTGGCCTACTTGGAGTCAACTTGTTTAACTCAGAGTACTGGCTTCCTCTTCCCCCTGGAAACCCTAAGGCTCAAGCCAACAGGTTTCCTCTTTTGTTATGTTAGAACATTTGCCCTGGTTCCTCAACCATCAGCAAGTCTTTCAGCTACCTGCTGTGCCCACCACTTCTGGCTCCACTGTGGGTCACTGCTCACTTCCACACAAGGCCTGACCTAGGGCTCCCTACCTGCATCCCTTCCCCCAAGAAGCCACCCTGTCTACACTGTCATCAGTGCAGGGGCGACTACGGGACAGAGCATGCTTCCCTTTTCTGGTCTTTTGTTTTGGCTTTCATAGCATCTTGTGGGGCAGGATATAATATAGTCAAATATTGGCTTGTGCAATTTAGTATATTTATTTAGTTGCACACATTTAAAATAACATAATAAAACATAACATAGATTTTTCCTTATATAGGGATCAAGACCTCACTGAAGGTTTGGGGCAACTAAAGGGAGTTAGAGCAGAGGAAGGGAACATTTTCCCCCCCAAAGTACATGATACATGACAGCATCCATAGGCCAAGGAAGAAGTCTCCAAATAAGTGAAACCCGTACTTATCCTGTGACTCATCTCAATGACTGGCCCTGCTTACCGCTCTTCATGTCTGTGCCTCTTGAGAGAGTAGCTTCTCCAAACCTCCTTCCGTGGCAAATGCCCACCTTCTCTCCCTACTTCCCATGAGGAAATGCCACCCACTGTTCACTGAGTTTGCTTTTACTCCGGGATTTATCTAGCTCCTTTTTCTTACCAAGCATCCATGTGTTCCATCTTCATGGAGGAACTTCAGCAGGATACTGCTGGGTAGGGGTTGGATCCCAAGTTTGCTACCCTTTGAGAAGTCCTTCTCCGTAATTCTACTCTGTCACGTGGGGTTGCTATGAGTCAAAATAGACTTGATGGCACCTAACAAAAACAACCCAGCATGAGGTGGTTCCTCCAGATGGTAGTTCCAGTGGGACCCACGCATATACCTCTATTCACCTATTTTACCTACCTCCCAAAGACAAGTATTAATTCTCAGAATCTAATTCCATTATTTGCAAAGACAACATTTTCCTAAATGCAATAAAATCTGTATACATTCCTCTTCACAACACAAAAAAACAGCTAGTATGCTTTTGTAGAGAGAGCTGTGTTGGAAACCTATCTTGTTTATTTTTTGGCTTCTAGAACTTGCCCCCAGGCTGCCTCATAATATGAAGAAAACAATAGCTTAAATGGAATTATTAAAGAACCATGTTCATACTGATTGCCACAATAAAGACCAGGCAAAAGTTTAAAAGTTACAGCTCTTCACCACCACATTTCTAAGCAGGCATCCTGAGGCTGCCTCTGTAGATGTTGGGGGAGGCCATATCATTTTCTGTGGGTGTATCCCCTTGTTTTGAGACTCTGGGGGTTTTCTTTTCCATTGTGTATTTGGTATCACTCACCTTTGCTTCTCCTCAACTTCAGTACACAAAGTATCCTGTTTCATGTGCACAGTTTCACATTTCATGTACACAGAATCACGAAAGAAGTTCGACATTATTTTTGTAGCTACATTCTGCTTTGCTGTCTAAAATTTTAAGGCTATTGCTTTTAAGAATAGTATATAGACAGTGTTTTGTTTTTCACTTCTAGAAGGGAGAGTTGACTATAAATAACTTTTAAAATATATCAGTTCTATTTTCAGTTTGTCATATGACATGTTAGGTAATATATTTTGTGAAAATATTTTTCTAGTATTTAGAGAGGTTGCTGACTGTACCATGGTTTCACCCTTTTGATGAGGAAAGAATTAAGTCAAGAAGTTGTGTCATGATGCATTTGACACCAGCTGTCCATCATTACCACAGCTGACACTCCCACAGGTCTGGTTTGAAAAGTATAGGACTTCTTTGTGTTTCTGGCTGATTTGTCCTGCCACCAGAGAGCTATGTGACTGACATATGTAGGAGAGCCCAGGGTAGGAACAATGGGGTGGATTGAGCCTTTTCCTCCCAGTGGCTGTCCTTCTGTGCTTTGGGGCTCATAAATCCGCAACCACATGCCACCCTGTGACTCACTGTCCTGTTTTGGAAAGTCCCTGGTTATGTTGTACTTTGCCTCTTGGATGTGGGACTTTGGAAATTTAGGCAAGAGCATGTTTACTTGACTCGCAAATTAAGTGCTAGACATACTTGCACAATAAATGTATTGATCTCTCATTCTATTCTACGAAATAGAACATTCTGTATAATTGTTGTTTATGTCACTTCTGGTTGGCTTCCATATCACATATGCCAAATAGGAAATAATGGCCCTAGAAATAACTTACACTTTAGCCTTACTGTGTAAATTAATTATGATAATGTTGTACTTGAGGCCAGTTTTCCCCTGGAAAACAGTTTCTGAAAGTGATCCTGCTTGCTCTGACCTATAACGTGTGAGTGCACATGATCCGCCTAATTCTGTGCTGCCCGGTCCCTTCTATGGAGCATAAGTATTACAGTGATGAATCATATCTTCTGAAATATTTATGCAAGCAAGGTAGTTGCTTATGATTTTTATTAGTATTGTTTTTACAGTTCCTCTACCCACATGTTGAAAGTCAACCTCTTTCAGAGAACCGTCTGCTACTGATTTCAGAAGAGAAATGTGAGTATATCTTTAGGTTGTCTATAGGGACTTCATGAAGGTTTCCTAATGAAGTGTGAGACGTGATTGAATCTTCTAGATATCCACTTGCCAGTACTGGGGATGCACTGACCTTTGTTGTCCATTTCAGATCCAGGACTCCTGTGCAAGGGCTTTTCCTTCTGAGCCCAACATGTTGTTCCCTCAGTCTTTGCTTATCTCCTCATCCTGGGAACCATGGGCTTCTGCATATGTAGATTTCAGTTGTGTCACACAGTAGACACATGAATGTGTGCAGAACAGTCATGCAGGTCATTCTCCTCCTTTTTAGTACACTTTCCTTCTTTGTCAGAGTGCATAAAGGACATATAAAGAGAGGCTTGGATGGAGAGAAGAAAAGGCTTTAGTAGCTAGAAGAATTCCATGTCAAGACTTAGGACACATACTAACTTAGTCAAAAGGTAAATAAAATTGGGACAGAAAAGGTTATGTCTTTCTCAAGAACAGATATATGCACACCCATGTTCATCGCAGCACTATTTACAATAGCAAAAAGATGAAAACAAGCTAGGTGCTCATCAACAGAAGAAAGGATAACCAAACTATGGTACATACACACAGTGGAATATTATGCAACCCAAAAGAATAACGCAGAATCTGCCAAACACCACAGGACGTGGATGAACTTGGAGGACATTATGCTGAGTGAAATAAGTCAATCACAGAAGGACAAATATTGTATTAGTCTGCTATTGTAAAAAGTCAAGGAAAGGTTTATATATGGAACAAAACTTTCTTTTTTGGCTACCTGGGATGGGAGTGGGGAGGGAACACTGCTAGATAGGTAGAGACAAGTATTGATTTGGGTGAAGGGAAGGGCAATGCACCAAATGTGAGTGATCAACACAGTGGCATCAGGAAGAGGAAGACATAAAGAGGTACATGGGAGATACAGACAACAAAGATGAACCCTTTTGCACATACAGTACTGCTTTGTCAGTGATGGCAAACATTGATTTATGGGTGGATAGATAGGTGGACAGGTTGAATGATCAGGTTTGTCTAGGTAGGGGGGAGTGTGCCCATGACCATGTATAGGGTTGGTAGACGATGTTTCTACAGGCGTATTTGTATATGCTGTAAGAATGGCCAGGTATATAGTAGAACTGACAAGGAACAAGATTATGGTGACTTCTTGGCCACAGCCAGCTACCCAAAGGGAGTGAGTAGTTGGACCTGTGGGCTTGGGACCATGGTTGCAGGGGACATCAAGCTTATTGGCATAACATACTACACAAAAACATTGTTCTACATCTTACTTCGGTGAATAGCAAATGGGATCTTAAAAGCTGCAAGAGCCATCTAGATGCAACGATGTGTCTCTCCATGTCCAGAGCAAAGAAGAATGAAGACAACCAAAGATGCATGGAAACAATTAGTCGAAGGGACTGTTAGACCATGCAATCCTCAGCCTATATGTGCATGAGACCAGAAGAATTAGATGGTGCCTGGCTACCACTGTTAACCACTCAAAGGGGGATCTGTGGATTCTGGATAAGTGGGAGTACAAAGTGGAACAAAACTCAAAATCATTAAAAAAAAAAAACCCAAAAGGCCATGTTTGTTGGTCTGACAGAGCCTAGTGAGACCCCTGAGACTATGGCCCCTAGCTGCCCTTTGGGTCTGAAATTGAACCCACTCCTGTGGCTTCCAGCCAAATAATAGACAGGCGTATGGGCTGAACATTTAAATCAGGAGTCCTTGGAGAGGTCAATCATGGGAGAATAGAAGGGCTATGTATGCACAGGGAGACAGCTTGGGGGGCAGGAGTGCTTGGGAGGGAAGGACACAGGGAAGAGGTTACTATGGGGAGGAAGTGGGAAGAGAGCTGTTACATTGTGGGAAATTGCAGTCAATGTCATGAGACAAAATGTGTATGAACTGCTGTATGGAAAATGAATTAGCTCTGTAAACTTTCACCCAAATCACTATATATATATATATATAAAAAAAGGGTTATATCTTTCCCAAGTGCTTCCAAGTTTTGAGGAAAAAAGGATCAGTCTCATTGCAGAATCTTATCTAGTAAGCTGCCTTTCACGTGAGAGAGGGAAACGGCTGATTTATATTGTAGTTGGACAGGCCTGACGACTTAGGTCTGTGTTCAGTTCCGTGCACTCTCGGGCAATTGCCAGTCTCATATTTCCTAAGTAGAAATAGCAGAAGGTAAATGTGGTTTAATTTAAATTGCTTGCTTGTAGAATGGGATTATCTATGAACTAACTTGAAGTGTTTAGGGTTTTGCTAGTATGAAATAAGCCCTATAAAAATGTCTCCCCAAATTAGCATGTATAATAAATTTTCTATCTGATTTGTTCACATAAACAGGTGTTTGGTATTTGGGAATCAAAGGTTAAACCCTGCCATATGGGCCCTTATTGTTAAGATTGATGGGATAAGGGAGGCAAAACACTTGCTGTGGGAACTCAGAGAAGGAGCAGGCTAAAAGGCTTCATTTGTTGTCAGTGTTGATATTTTTATTTATTTTTTTAAAACCTTAATATATTGTTGATACTGAAGAATGAAATAAATGTTGGACTTCAAATAGATTGTAAAGGGTGGGAGGGTGGAGAAAGGTAGTTTTTGTTTTTGTTATAATTAACTTTTATTGTGAGATAATTGTCTGACTATGTTGTTTTACAGCAGTTATTTAATCTACATTGCTTTTATAAAAATTTGTTCACAAATGTTTGGTGGATAAACTACTCATATTTTTCATGAAGGTTTTTGTCTTTAAAATGTTTATGTAAAATATTTCTGCTGTTTTTATTTTTAAGATATTGAACAATTTCATATTCAAGTCATCCAAGAAGATGGAAATAAAGTGGTAAAGACTTGAAATTCCTTTTACTTGCTTTCCTACAAAGAGCTATATTTCTAGACTAGTGAAGATAGATTAACGTTATTGATACATACCATTTTCTTTATTTGACATCTTTCAATTATAGACGTGTTTCCTATAGCACGAAAAACAAGACATATGAAGGAGTTAATTGTTCCCTTTATCTCTATCCCATCCTCCAATTTCAATCTCTGGAGGTAGCTACTGATAATAGCCTTATGTGAATGTACACCTTTTACCTTGTTCATGCAAACACATACAAGATGAGGGCACCTGTGTTGTTGTTAAGTGCTATTGAGTCGATTTTCAACTCTCAGCAACTCCATGTGGCAGAATAGAAGTGCCTTGGAGGGTTTTCCTGGCTGTGATCTCCCGTGGAACTGCTGGATAGGTTTGAATTGCCAACTTTTTGGTCAGCCAAGAGCTTAACTGTTGTGCCACCAGGAATTCTTAGGGACGCATACACTGAGGTTCATTTTTTTTTTTTTTTTACCAAAATAGGATCATAATATATACATTAATCTGTTACTTTTGTGTTTGATTTTTACTTAATATATCAGATATATCCCATAGGTTACTACAGAAACATATAACTTTTTTTCTAATTGTTTATGCCTATATACACAATAAGTGAAATCATGACATATTTGCTGGGTTATATAGTACAATTTTCTTCCCTTTTTTACTTGTTTTCCATTCCTACCTTTCGTTGTTAACTTTTATTTATAACCTTTCATATCCTTCCATTTCTTTTTCCTTATTTATATAATCTACCTCCACCTGTGGCACACAAAGGGTTTACATTGTTATTATTCACTCTTTCCTCATTCCACTTCGTCCAGTTATCTGTAAGTCAACTTGAATCACTCCAGTTCTTCCTCTTTAGAAGTTTCTGGTGTGGATGTATATAATTTTTCAACTATTTTCTCATATTAGGACATTTGATTGGTAGGTTTTCTTTTGTGTGCATGTTACAAATTGCATCAATAAGTATTTTTATACATATAGCCTTACATATTGGTATATATGGAGCTCTGGTGGTGTGGCTAAGGCATTCAGCTGCTAACCAAATGGTTGATGGTTTGAACCCACCAGCTGTTTCTCAGGAGATAATGAGGCAGTCTGCTTCTGTAAATAGTTACAGCCTTGGAAACCCTCTGGGCAGTTCTACGCTATGCTATGGGGTTGGTTGCTATACGTCAGAATCAACTCAGTGGCAATGGGTTTGTTTTTTTTAATTGGTATACTTATAGGAGCTCTGGTGGCGTAGTGCCCAAGGCACTTGACTGCTAACCAGAAGGTTGGTGGTTCAAACCCACCAGCCACTCCTCAGAAGGAAGGTTGGACAATCTATTTCCGTAGTGATACTGCCTCGGAAACCCAAGGAGGGGTTGCTCTATGAGTTGGATCTGACTCAATGGCAGTGAGTGAGTGATACATATTTCTTTGGGCTGAACCCTCAGGGATGGGTTGATGGGTATATATGTATTTTTAACATGTGAACAGATTTTGCCAGAATACTTTCCAAAAATTTTTAAAATACAAGCAAAGTGTGAGTACCTTTCCCTCTATCTTATTATACCAGTCTAATTGCTGTGTAAAAACGTGGTTCTAATTTGATGGATGTAAATTGATACTTATTCTTATTTTAGTCTGCATTTCTTCTAATATTAGTGAGTTTCAGTGTCTTTTCCTGTGTTTATTGGCAGTTTGAATTTGCATTTCTGAAAATTATTTAAATATATTCCTGTTTTTCTGTTGGATTATTTGTTGCTTCCTTGATGTTTTTACTGATGTTAAAAATTATTTTTGTCAGTATTTAAATAATAGCCTTCATTCAGCAAAATATCTTTCTTCGAAGATTTCAGTATTGAAAAATATTAAAATAGAAGGTGGCATTTATTAATTATGTGTTTACTATTGAAAGCCTCAAATCAATAGGCCTGGCTGGGAAATGACCAGGAGAAAATGTGTGGCAAGGGCTCTGGGCCGCCAGAGGCTAAATGGATGGGAGGCCAGGAGCAGAGCCAGTGGTCAGATGTTGGTAGAGTCAGAGAGGAAAGACCAAGGCAGAAACCCAAAGCCAGTGGTGAGAATTTAGAGGAGACAGCTCAATAAACAAGTTGGGGTGAGGAAGTGGGACTGAGCATGAGAGACGCCTGATTGCGTAGAAAAGGATTTGGGAACTAAAGGAGCAGGGAGAGTGAGGGGAGGGGTACATTTCTCAGGAGCCTGGAAAGGATTCTGACAGACAGGATAGTGCAGCCTTAGCATTTTTTAAATCCAAATGTGCCCTTCGGTGAGGCACTTCTGTCATTCTTAAAGGCTCAGACAACAGCTTCTCATAGCTGTGAACCATGCAGTGTGCAGTTCCACGTGTGTTGGTTATCGGGTGTTGCTGTAACAGAAGTAGGTTGCTTTAATGAACAGAAATTTATTTTCTCACAGTTAAGAGGCTAGAAGTCAGAATTCAAGGTGCCAGCTCTATGGGAAGGCTCTCAGTTCTGGGAGAAAATCCTTGTCTTAGCTTCTCTAGCATTCTTCTTGGAATTTCTTGGAGATCTCCAGGTGGCATCTCTCTTTCCCTTATTCATCTGTGCCTTCCTCTGAGTCTAATCTACTCTTTTTATATATTTGAAAGTGATTGGCTTAAAACACATCTTATTGATGGGGCCTCCTGTAATTCCTACATGGGATTACATCCACTGGTGTAGGGATTAGGATTTATAACACGTATTTTTGGAGGGTCACTATGAGTTGGAATCAACTTGATGGCAGTGGGTTTGGTTTTCTTGGTATTTTTTGAGGAACACAATTCAACCCATAATTTCATATATTCTTCACAGTATTCTTGTGTGAGGGTTGGCATTAAAAATTATTTCCATTGTTAAAGGGAAGACAAACAAGATTCACAGAGGTTAGATAATTCTAGAAAGGGACAAAACTGAGTTTGAACTGGGGTATGCCATGCTCCAATGTTTGTGTTCTTCTCAGTATATACCTTTATCTGAAAGGGTTTCTAGATCTACCCCAATCTACCAAGTTTCAGAAAAATGGAAACAAGATGAATTGTCCAAGGTTTAGAGACAGACAAATACTCTTGGAATTTTTGTTTTCTCTAGTCTCCCTTTCCTCTACCCTAAATGTGATGGATCTGGGTGAGCAAGACATACAGATGTACAACTCCTCATGCCATGAGCCTCCTTCAAGTGCCAAGTTAGCCTCGGTGGAAAAATCCTGTTACATGGACCAAGCTGAAGCTCCTTCTTTCCTCATTTGTCTTTCCTAATATAGATTACTTTTGTTTATGTCAGCTGACATGTTGAAAGGGCTCTGGATGGGTTCCAGGAGCCCAGTGTTCCGAGTTGTGGCTGAACTAGCTATAGCCTAACTTAACTTCTCTGGGCCATGGTTCTTCTCATAGATAAAGTAAAGGGGTTGCATTAGATGGTTTCTGTCATCACTTCTGATTCTAAAAAATTCTATTCTTTATTTTACATTTGTAATATCCTTGGCAATTTACTCTTATACTTCTTATTTCATTTTTTGTCTTTTGAACAAGTGTTCCTGGAATAGTGTTATATGTTAGAAAAAATACAAGATATCAAGAATACAAAGACGCTCTGAGAGGATGCATACTCATTGGGGGAGACTTAGAGCATGCATCAAAATGTAACTGTAGTAGAAGCATGCCAGAGGGCTACGGGAACACAGACTTGGGGGATCTTCCTGTCTTCCTGGGGAAGTAAAAGAAGGCTTTATACAGAAGGAGCACCTAAGTCTGGTCTTGCAGGATGAGTAGTTAAGTAATGCTGAGACATAGGCAATATTATCATGTTGATTGTGGAAGACATAAAGCTGAGAAGCATGCCCCAAACCACACAGTTTATGGTACAACTGGGGTCATTATCCAGTATTCCTGCTTCCAGGCCTGAGTTGTTCCTTGGCACTGCAACCTCTCTCTATGGTAGTTCAGGCCTCTTGCTTGCAGAGACCTGACTGAGTTGATTATGTCAAGAACAGGAAGCTCTGACTCTCCTATTAACCAAGCTGTTGATTTGTGGTAGATGTGGCCTTGCCTTCAACAGCCCCAGCCTATCTGTTAAATTAAGTACAAGAATAAAATAGTACATTATAGAGTGTTTGGGAAGAGCAAATAATGAAATGTTGACATAAAACTTTTCTGGGAAGACTACATGTGTGTGTATATGTGTGAGTGTATGTGTGTGTATGTGTTGGGAGAGAGGGACTGGTAAAAATCAACTCTGGAGATATTTACATGTACTATAAATATTGAAAATGAAAAATAATAATGAATTCCAAATGTCTTCTGTATTTTAAGATAGTTATTTATATTATAGAATCTTTTTGTCTCTTTAGGTGATTAAAAATTCTGGACGTCTCCCAAGAGACCGAGTAGCTGAGGATTTTGTTTGGGCTCAGTGGGATATGTTAGAGCAGAGACTATATTACATTTACCTAAAGGTAAATCTAGTCCTCTGGCCCTCCTGTTTAGAGGGAAAATTTGATTTTTGACATTTCCATGGCTATAATTTGTTCATCACTGTATTTTCATTGGTGGAGGGCAGTCAATGAAGGATTGTTAAAAATTATGGAAAAATTTTCAGTACTATTTGCTTTCTTTCTCTCTCTTTTTTTGGCTAGAGTTTTTCTTGATTTTTGGTAGTATGCCATTTATTCTAATTATTTTCTCTTTTAGAAATCAAGAAGTTATTTAAATTGCATTCAGTTTAATGGTGCTGAGAACTTTACTCTAATGGTAAGTCCAGAGAATGATTGGCCTACAGGAAATTTTATAGCACACCGCCCCTTTTTAAGAGAGTTGTTACCATAAGAGCATTTTAGCATTCTTGATGTTGTGTTAGTCACTTGTATGAGCAAGTAAAATAGTTCATGCCATCTCAGGGCTTCAACTCTACAGCAAATGCAATTAATATCAGTGATTATAAGAGCACACACAGGAGATGTATTTACTAACTGAGTGTGTGGCATTGAAGAAACTAGTGTAAGAGTGAGATTAGTAGAGGGCAGTAGGTGTGGTCTATGGCAGATAGCTTTAAATGGTTACAAGTTATTTGACCCCAGGAGACTTAAGAAGATGATGAATTTGAGAATGAGGTAAGAAGTCAGTGAAAGAGTATAATTTAAATAGCTCTCTTTTGCTGGAAGCTGCGGCTTCACCAACATGTGCGAGTGTCGAGGTCTTCAGACTGCCAGGAAACTCCGTAGTCACAGAAGGGACCAGAAGTAGCATGATAAACAGTACAAAAAAGCCCATTTGGGCACAGCTCTGAAAGCCAACCCTTTTGTGAAGGGAATTGTGTTGGAAAAAGTGGGGATTGAAGCCAAACAGCCAAATTCTGCCATTAGGAAGTGTGTCAGAGGCCAGCTGATCGAGAATGGCAAGAAAATCACAGCCTTTGTACCCAATGATGGTTGCTTGAATTTTATTGATGAAAATGAAGTTCTGGTTGCTGGATTTGGTCACAAAGGTCATGCTGTTGGTGACATTCCTGGAGGCCATTTTAAGGTTGTCAAAGTGGGCTATGTCTCTCTTTTGCCTCATATAAAGGCAAGAAGGAAAGGCCAAGATCCTAAGTTTTCTTAATGAAAATATAGTAATAAAGTTTCATGTGGTGGTGGTGGGGGAAAGAGCATAGTTTAAATAGTAAAAGTCTAGCATCACGCCTGGAAGAGCTTGTAATGTGGAGTGATCACCTTTTGTGCAGAGTCACTAATAACTTTATCTATGATGAATAGTCTGTTACTAGTTTACATGACAAGAACTAATAATGAACTAAATGTTCAGATTGATATCATGCAATCACAAAACAGATTTATATTTATCACACACACACCCCCCCTTTTTGTTCATTCACAAAGAGCTCCTTCCTTCTAAAGACAATGAAAGGGTCCTTCCTCCCTTACATGGTCATCTTTGTCTTGTAAAAGACTTCCACTTTCAGTCTATTTTACAATGTGTTTATGATATTCAAAATTTGCCAACTATTAGCCTTTTAAGAAATAAATATCCCTGAAGTTTGTGAATGTGTGTAAGCTCTGAAATATCCTCAGTGGACACTTTCTGTTGCTGAGGATGATGATGGTTCAATGGGCCCTTCATCATTAGACAAGCACAGCATTGTCGGGCTTGCTCTGGTTTTCAGGACTATTATCACTTAATTAACGTCATTTTTGTTTGTTTGTTTGTTTTCTCCTGATTTTTAACAGTTTGAAGCACCCTTGGACATATCATTAAATGACTCAGGATTTAAGTAAGTGACTCAGAGTGGGATTAATTTTTATATACACTCATGGGCAAAAGGATTAGATTTATACCTAATCCATAGTGTACAGATAAAATGATGGTTTGAAATTCTCTTTGTGTGTGCATCTTCTTTTACATTCCTGTTCTCAGTAGGGAATATAAACCACTTTATTGAGTATGAACATAGGCTTTTATGTGCAAAGCCAATTGTGTTTTTTCTGAGCCATTATTTCTGTATAGCATCTCCATTTATTTCGATCTATGGAGCTGCTCTTCTCCCTATGATTAAATTAAAGGATTGATGAGTCAGAGAGCTACATATAGAGCCAAACATCAAAATCTTTTCATTGATGGCATCCAAGAGGGTATCACAGGTCAACCCACTGTAGCTCAGCTGAGTCTATTGCCTACTTTTTTCTGTTTTCCTTTTCACACAGAAAGTGAGGTCTCTCTTCCCTCCCAAAGATTACTTTACATATAGTAAAAACACAAGGCACTTTTGAAGAAATAAACAGAAGGTCATGAGAACACAGGAAAAATGGAAGTCTTCGTGAATTAGAGTAATGGTAATCTTAAATTATTACGTATTTCACTAGCTTCATTTCATCATATATGAGCATTCAATTGTGCTTCTTTTGAAACATAGTGTATGTTCATCTAAATCAGAAAAAGTTTATAAAAATATAATTTGAAAATAACATTGTTTTCTTTCTTTTGCCAGCACCATGTCATTTACACACCATGTATTTTTTTTTAAATAACTGTTCTTGACTGTTTCACAGAATTTCTTAACAAAAAAAAGCAGCTTTTATCTTCTTAAAATTTTCAGGGTTATGTCTCTGCTTTTGTGTCTATATTGTAGTGGGTACTCACATCCTTTATTAGGGAATATATTTTTATGTACACTCAACACTTTTTTATCTGTATGTTCCTAGGCTGGTCAACTTTGGATTTGATTATCTTCAAGACCAAGAGGAATTATCCAAACACCTGACTCTGTGTGTTTTTACCAACAATACAGGTAGAACCAGCTGTTATCTGTTTAATAGGAGATACTAATATCTTCAAGAATGTTGTGGTCACTCAGTGCATTCCCGTTTCTCCATCCCTTCAAGACATTCTATCCCATTCTATCTTCGTCCTGCAAAATTTCCCCATCTCTTCCCTTGCTTGTCCACAGTTCATCCCTAGTGTCATACAGATGATTTTTTAAAGGAGCTCAGTACTCACAGGTGATATTCTTTATTTTGTGAGCCAATCTATTATTTAGCTAAAAGATGACTTCAGGGATTTGTTTAGGTTTAAACAGTGTCTCAGGGTAATAGTCTCTGGGAGTCCTCCAGTCTCATCTAATTAAATAAGTCTGGATTATTTTTTTTAAATTTGAGGTTCTGGACTACATTTTTCTCCTGTTCTAACAGGATCTATCTATTGTGGTGCTGATCAGAATGGTCAGTAGTTGTATCTGGGCACTATCTAATTCTTCTGCTCTCAGGGTAGAGGAGGCTATGGTGCATGTAGATTATTAGTCTTGTAGACTAGTTTCTTCTTTGAGTCTTTGATTTCCTTCTTTCTATTTTGTTCTGGATGAGTAGAGCAAAAACTGTATCTTAGATAGTCACTCACAAGCTTTTAAAATCCTAGACAATACTTACCATGTTAGGATATAGAACATAAGCTTTTATGAACTACATTATGCCAATTTACCAAGTTATCTCACTAGACTATGATCCTAAGCCTTCAAACCCAGAAAACCAATACTGTGAGGCATTTGGTTATGTCTAAGAATTATCTGTAACTATGTCCTGTGTAGGAGCTCTGGTGGCATAGTGCCTAAGGCATTTGACTGCTAACCAGAAGGCTGGTGGTTCAAACCCACTAGCCATTCCTTGGAAGGAAGATTGGGCAATCTACTCTGTAGTGATGCCACCTCGGAAACTCAAGGAAGGGTCACTATGAATTGGATCTGACTTGATGGCAGTGAGTTTGGTTTGGTTTTATGCCCCCTATGTGTTTTATTGTATCTATGAGTATATATGTATACACATGTACATACATGCACATGCAGACACATATGCATACATCCATATATAGACATATATATGTTATTGTTGTTATGTACTGTCAACCCTATGTACAACAGAACGAAACGCTGTCTGGCCCTCCACAATTCTCACAATTGTTGCTATGTTTGAGCCCATTGTTGCAGCCACTGTGTCAATCCATCCCATTGAAGATCTTCCTCTTTTTCGATGACCCTCTACTTTACTAAGCATGATGTCCTTCTCCAGGGACTGGTCCCTTCTGACAGTATGACCAAAGTAGGTGAGGCAAAATCTCACCAACCTCATTTCTAAGGAGCATTCTGGTTGTACTTCTTCCAAGACAGATTTGTTTGTTCTTCTGGCAGATCATGGTACATTCAATATTCTTCACCCAAACCATAATTCAAATGCATCTGTTCTTCTTCAGTCTTCCTTATTCATTGTCCACCTTTTGCATGTATATGAGGTGATTGAAAATACCATGGCTTAGGTTAGGTGCACCTTGTCCTCAAAGTGACATCTTTGCTTTTTAACACTTGAAAGAGGTCTTTGCAGCAGATTTGCCCAATGTAGTATGCCATTTGATTTCTTGACTGCTGTTTCCCTGAGTGTTGTGCAATCCATACTGAATTGTAGTCTTTGATCTTCATCAGTAAGTGCTTCAAATCCTCTATATTTTTTGGCAAGCAAGGTTATGTTATCTCCATGTTGCAGGTTTGTTAAAAAGTCTTCCTCCAATTTTGATGCCACATCTTCTTCATATAGCCTGGCTTCTGGGATATTTGTTCAGCATGCGGATTGAATAAGTATAGTGAAAGTATGCAACATTGATACACACCTTTCCTGATTTTAAACTATGCTGTATCCCCTTGTTTTGTTTGAATGACAACCTTATACTCTACTTACAAATTCTTTTGGGCAAAATTAATTGTTCTGGAATTCCTGTTTTTTGCGGTGTTATCCATGATTTCTAATGATCCATACAGTCAAATACTTTTGCATGTGCACAGTCAATAAAACATCTTTCTGGTATCTATGGATGTATATGCCTACGTACATACTCACACATATAATTTTTGGCTGTGTTTACTGTTATTCCAAAGTTATATCCAGAACCAAACTGAACTCACTGCTATTAAGTCGAATTCGACTCCTAGAGACCCCCTTTGGGTTTCCAAGGGAGTAAATCCTTATGGAAGTAGATTGTCCAGTCTTCCTTCCACGGAGTGGGTGGTGGGTTTGAACTGCCAGCCTTCTGGTTAGCAGTCAAATTCATTAGGCACTATGCCACCAGAGCGCCTTCCAAAATTATATATGCCATAGTAATTACCAGTAGTTCTTTTTTTCATGTGTACTTTTTAGTGGTATTGTTTACTTTCATTAAGCTGTGTACACTTCATCCTTGCTTGGTGTTACCTTTCTCATCTCCCAAAACAACAAGTGTCTGTAATCTATAGAGCAAAACTCTCCCCCCGCAAAATCCTTACAAACCACTAATGAACAGTTTCTGTATATTTACTTGTTCATGTCTTTCATAAGTGAGAACACATAATTTTTTTTTTGTGATTGACTTATTTTGCTCAACATAATATCCTCGAGGTTCATCCACATTGTAAGATATTTCAGGAACTCATTTTTATTTGTTGCTGGATTTCATTTGTTGCTGGTAAATAGAACATGAGAGATAAAGTCCATTGGTTCTAGCTGCATGGAAGTTACTGTCAGCCAAGTGTGTTGGATGATTAAGATGAATTTTTGATTGTGCTGGGTTAAGTAGAATATGGGAGCTCAAGAAGTTGTAGCATCATGTGTAGACATGAACCAGCAGCTACAAGTGGATGTGGGATTTAGGAATTACTATTATTTAAAGATTATGGAAACTCTAGTATACCTGAATGCTTACAAGATATATCTAAGGGAGAGGGAAAGGTAACAATATACAGCAGAGAGGATTAATGGGGAGACTGAGTTTGCTTAGAATTGGGGATGGAATGGGATCCAGGGCTTATGTGGAGGGACTGAGGTGGGTTCTTTTCTGGTATTTCACTTTCAGGCTTTACTTCTTTGAGGCTTTTATTTTTTTTCATTTTATTTTCACAAGAATTTCCTATGAACACGAACAGCTATAACTTATAAAGCTACCTATGACATATCTTTTTTGGTAAAATACTGTTTGGTTTATCTGACATGAAATGTGAATGAGTCTTTTTTCCTTTCTCAGCAATAGAGAGTAGCAAATGAGCTCTCTTCTTCACAATAAGCTTGCAATAGAAAAACAAACAAACAGACAAAACTCCCAGCCTATTTCAAATGAAGTGCTTCCAGATTCAAGAAGGGAAAAGTTAAAGAAACAACCTTTTGGTTTTGTCTAGTAAGTTCATGTTTCCTGAAGCACTTTTCAAAACAAATTTTTTACCTTTGTAGTTTTTTGAAAAATGAAAACTACTTGAATGAAGTAGGGTTGGAGAAGGAAGGAACCAGAGTCTATGACTCACTGAATAATAGCCTAATATGGAGAGCATAAAACATGTTACAAAGTTCATGAAAGAGGTGTTGATAGTCTCAGAACCTAATACAGATTTGACTTATTTCAGCTATTTGCATTTGTGATGATGATGCTGTGTTCGTGTCATTTAATTGTCATATCCACCACTCTGTCAGTTTGTTGTCCTATGATAGCTTGTGTGTCGCTGTGCCACTGATATTTCACATACTAGCAGAGTCACCCGTGGTGGACTGGTTTCAATGACATTTCCAGACTAAGGTATACTAGGAAGAAGGACCTAATGAGCTACTTCTAAAAAAAATCAGCCAGTGAGAACCTTATGAATAGCAGCAGAATACTGTCTGATATAGTGAAGATGAGCCCCCCAGGTTGTAAGGCACACAGAATATGATTGGGAAAGAACTGCCTCTTCAAAATAAGTCGATTTTAATGATGTGGATGGAGTAAAGCTTTTGGGACCATCATTTGCTGCCGTTGTTGTTGTTGTTAGGTGCCATCGAGTTGGCTCCAACTCATAGTGACCTTGTGTAGAACAGAATGAAACACTGCCCGGTCCTATGCCAGCCTCATAATCCTTGCTACAACTGAGCCCATCATTGCAGCCACTGTGTCAATCCATCTTGTTGAGGGCCTTCTCCTTTTTCATTGACACTCCACTTTACCAAGCATGATCTCCTTCTCCAACGAATGGTCTTTTCTGACAACGTGACCAAAGTAGGTGAGATGAAGTCTGGCCATTCTCACTTCCAAGGAGTATTCTGGCTGCACTTCTTCCAGGACAGAGTTGTTAGTTCTTTTAGCAGTCTATGGTACTTTCAGTATTCTTTGCCAATACCAAAACTCAAAAGCATCAACTCTTCTTTTGTCTTCTTTATTTATTGTCCAGGTCTCACATGTGTTTGAGGTGATTCAGAATACCATGGCTTGGGTTAGGTGCACCTTAGTCTTCAAGGAGACATCTTTGCTCTTCATCACTTGAACGAGGTCTTTTGCAGCAGATTTTCCCAATGCAATATGTCGTTTGATGTCTTGACTGCTACTTTCATTGGTATTGATTGTAGAACCAAGTAATATGAAGTCCTTGAGAAATTCTGTCTTTCCTCCATTTATCATGATGCTGCTTATTGGCCCAGTTGTCAGGATTTTTGTATTTTTTGTATTGAGGTGTAATCCATACTGCAGACTGTAGTCTTCAATCTTTATCAGTAAATACTTCAAGTCATCCTCACTTTCAGCAAGCAAAGTTGTGTCGTCTGCATAACCCAGGTTGCTAATGAGCCTTTCTCCAATCCTGATGCCATGTTTTTCTTCATATAGTCCAGCTTCTCAGATTATTTGCTCAGCATACAGATTGAATAAGTATGGTGAAACACACTCCCTTCTTTATTTTAAACCATGCAGTGTCCCCTTGTTCTGTTTGAATGACAGCCTCCTGGTCTATGTACAGGTTCCTTATGAGTACAATTAAGT